GAGCTGTCAAGTTACAAGACCCTTGTTACAAGACCCTAACCCTTTAGAAAAAAAAAAAACCCCCAGGGGTGTTCAAACTTGAACAGCTTTAAGACTTGTGGACTTCAACTCCCAGAATTCCTCCTCTCGCTCTTCATCTTGATGATGTGTGGACGGGCGGGGGAGGGAGCTGGAACCGGTTCTAAACGGCACTGTAGATCTATAGAAGAGGTTAGAACTGGCAGGAACCCACCCCTCAGCCACGGCCATCCAGTCACATGACACACACACCCCCAAGCCACGCCCACAGAACCGGTAGGATTTTTTTTTTTTTAGATTTTCCCCACTGCTTGGATCCCATCGCACCTTGTTGACCACGTCGCCAAAGGTGAGATTGGTCAAGGCCATGCCTGTGTAGCGCCTGAGTGCCAAGTTGAGAGGGTCGTTGGTCATCTTGTGCATCTCATAGTCCACCTGCAGGAGCTCAGCAATGGCCTGGAGTCCACCTGGGAAGGGGAAACGGAGAAGAGAAAAAACGGTGAGCCCCCCCAACAGCAGCGCACAGCCAAAGGCACAAGAGTCACCCAATCGCATTGATCGGGGTCGGTGCAGAGGACAAGCAGCAGCCACACAGTAGAACCATGGAAAAGAAAGAACTACGCAGATAGTCCTCGACATACGACCACAATTGGGACCACAATTTCCATTGCTAAGCAAGAGCGTTGTTAAGTGAGCCGTGTCTGATTTTACAAATGTTTCCTTCCAGCCGTTAAGTGAATCCCTGCACTTGTTTAGGGCAGTGTTTCTCAACCTTAGCAACTTGAAGACATCTTCAAGTTGCCAAGGTTGAGAAACACTGTGTTAGGGTGAATCACACAGTCGTTAAGCGAATCCACCTGGCTCAGGTGGCAAATGGCAGAGCCACAGGAGGAATTGCCCAATGACCCTTCATTACATCATCACCCAGCAAGCCCGGGATACAAACACAACCTACCAAGTGCTTAGATATCTTACTTAACTGAATCTGTTTCAGAATATGTCATAAAAGGTGTAATGTTATTGGAGAATTTATTGAAATTGCGAATGAATGCCAGTAGATGGTTGTGTCTGTAAATATAAATGATTCTAGATAAAAAAAAGCATGTCTGAATAATGGTAATTTAAATGAGAATTGTGGGTACAGGGATAGTAAAATACAATTTTTTTTTTCTTTCTTGATTTAAAATGTACAATTCGATTTGAATGAAGTATATGTAAGGATTGTGGAAGAAACACACGGAATATATTTGTAACCAATCGATACGCTTTCTACAAGATGTAACGAAGGACGATTTCTTTTTTTGGGTTTTTTTTTTTAATTAAAACAATTAAAAAAACCCCCCCCCCCAAAAAAAAAACCCCACAAC